GGCACATAGCCAGCATAGTAAAGATAAATAAATAATTGATTTACAGAAATTACCACCATAAAAACACCCCAAAACCCCTATATTACAGGACATCTAGGCATATATAAAATACATGATTTAAAATAATAATGCTAACCATTCATGGTTTAGGACATTAGGAGTCATCTCAGAGGCCTTTGTTAACTTTACCCGAAAGAACTAAAAAGCTGCTTCACTGTCACCATATAATCTGTTTTTTAGACACTTCCACTCGTAATTATAGAAACTTTTTAGGGGAATTGGAGACTAGTTTTGTAGTGTCAACATAATTTTAACTCTTCTTCATCTCCCTATTTGCCCTAAATAATCTATATAATATTCAGAATAGAAGACAGTCAGCTAAATGTAATATACCAGCTCTTCAACCGCTGAAGTAGGAGTTGAGGGGAAATAGACAACCAAGTAGTTGATAATTATTTCAATATACCTCTGCGACAAACAATAGTGGCTGCACAGAATCAGGCCACTTTGTCATTTCTCTGCCCATTTAGGTCTGAAAGGAGATATTCTACATAAAATTTGTCCTGTCTACCCGGTAATTTTTGAATAAGGGAGTTATAAATGAGGCTCTAATATCTTTATAGAAGGGGCAAAAAGGAAGAACATAACAAACTGTCTCTGCTTTGTAAGATGCATGGGGCAAAGCTGGTTCGAATATGGAATCTTTTTATATTTGCCCCTCTAATGCAACAGAAGGCAAGATGTTCAGTCTGGCTAACATGAAGGCTCTTCTTAATCTGGGAACACTCAGATTTTCAAAATAATTAGCAAAGGTAGACACTCCACTGTTTTCTTTAAATATAGGATATGAAGCTACCTGACTTTTACGATTTTGGAGATCAATGTCTTTAATATGTTGGGCAATATCTGATTTTACTTTGTTATATCGAAGAGGGGATTTTATCAGGTGCTGCTGCTTACTTGCTTGCACGATAAAGTGACATTTCCTGACATTCCCTTTTTTACACACCCATCAAAGTGGCAGAGACGTCCTTTCCAGCTTTCGCTCTGGCGACCCTCATAAATATACGCACATCTACCTCTGTTAGGATTGTCAGCTTGGAAACTGGAGGGGGGTCCTGTACCCTTCATGGTTGCATAGAAAGAGAATTTCCGCAGGGGTTGTTTGCAACACAACTAGACAGCAAGCAACAGCTGCTGAAATCCCCTCTTCTGCACAACCATCAAAAGTACAACATACCCTCTGGTATTTCACGGATGAAAACTGGAACTTGGAGCCAAGCAACATCAGGTCATGGCAGCTAAATTTATTGATAAGGAAGGATAGAGACTACAGGAAAAGGGCAAGATTTTACTTCCTTCACTCCTCTCCCCCTTCTGAGTTAATAAACAACTTCTGCAGAAATATTATTATACAAGGGGTTATCGTAAATTAATAATTACACGGAAGTTATTATGGTATATGGATGAAATTTTGTCAGTGTCATCATTGGTCCCTAAGTGCATGATGTTGAGAAAACCAGCTCTTTCTGTCCTTTATTTTTCTGACAGGTTGTGTCAGAAGTGACTAAAGTGTACGATGGAGAAGACTGAGGCTCGCAGTGTGAAAAACCTCCTGCATTTGAAGGATAATAGTGCCCAGCAAATTCATGATGAGACGATGGTAGTTTATGGAAACGGTTGCCCATCTTATGAGGACACTATTGTGAGGTGGGAAAGGAATATCCAAACTGGTCACCTGTCCCTCACAGACGAGCCAAGACCTGCAAGTGTTTCATCCTTGAAGACATTTGAGCAACCATCCAAACGATCATGAATGAAACTGGTCTGTTATGGGAGTGTGTGGGAAATTATTCATGAGGAACTGCACATGTCTAAGGTGTCTGCACACTGGGTTCCACCTTCGCTAACCCCTTTCCAGAAATAAACACGGTGTGACTTTTCAAGACAGGTGTTGATGCTGTTGGAACAGGATGGAGAGGATGAATCTTGGATATATCAGTACCATCCAGAGACCAAAACCATGAGCATGGAGTGGAAGCATGCCAATTCCCTTCCTCCCAAAAAGGCAAAGGTGCAAAAGTCAGCAAGGGAGGTCATGCTCTCAGTTTTTTGGGGACTGTCGTGGAGTCATTCTCACAGATTGCCTTGCAAAGGGACAAACCATTACTGGCACATACAACAGCAATCTTCTGGACAAGTTGCCAGACTGAAGTAGCCAAATGCTTGTGTGTGCCTATTGAGCTTTCACAATGAGTTTCTATGATTGCTTTTTTGGGGTCAGACAAGATAGCCACATGAGACCTTATAAGAATAATAAGTTTTTTTCTGTTGTCTATCTCTCCTGAGATTCATACGATGTTCCATACTAGACACAACATTCACTCTGTTAAGACTTCTTGATCTGTAAACATTTCCTCTGTTCTATAAACAATCTTTGCCCAAGTGAGAAGTGCTGAATATTGTGAAACTAACTGAACTAGAGAGGGAAGGGGGAGTGGTTTTCCTATAGGCTTGACATAGAATCATAGAATCATAGAGTTGGAAGAGACCCCAAGGGCCATCCAGTCCAACCCCATTCTGCCATGCAGGAACTCCCAATCAAAGCATCCCTGACAGATGGCCATCCAGCCTCTGCTTAAAGACCTCCAAGGAAGGAGACTCCACCAAAATCTCCATTGAGGGAGTGTGTTCCACTGTCGAACCGCCCTTACTGTCAGGAGGTTCCTCCTAATGTTGAGCTGGAATCTCTTTTCCTGGAGTTTGCATCCATTATTCCTGGTCCTAGTCTCTGGAGCAGCAGAAAAGCAGCTTCCTCCATCCTCAACATGACATCCCTTCAAATATTTAAACACGGCTATCATATCACCTCTTAACCTTCTCTTCTCCAGGTTAAACATCCCCAGCTCCCTAAGTCATTCCTCATAGGTATTCATGGTTTCCAGACCCTTCACCATTTTAGTGGCCCTCCTTTGGACACGCTCCAGTTTCTCCACATCCTTTTTGAATTGTGGGGCCCAGAACTGGACACAGGATTCCAGGTGAGGCCGGACCAAAGCAGAATAGAGTGGCACTATGACTTCTCTTGATCTAGACACTATACTTCTATTGATGCAGCCTAAAATTGCATTGGCCTTTTTAGCTGCTGCATCACACATGCTTGTAAAATCACTATAAAAGATCCTCAGGAGCTCAGTTCAGGGCTCAGCACCTCTGGAAAGTTATTTCCTGCTGGGCCCACTGGCATTACTTTCTTCAATAAAACAACTCACTTCGTGGTGTCTCCAGTCCCATTTTCTGCTACAAGATCCTCTGAAAAAGAAATGCTCCCCAGAGGCATTTGTCTCCTAGCTGACAATGCACCAGCTCATGCATCTCAAGTTGCAGTTAACAAAGCAAGGGCTTGTGGTTTGAGATCTTGCAGCATCCACCTTATTCTCTCGACCTCTCACCAAATGACTTTTTCTTGTTCCCAGAAATGAAAAATGCATTGCGGGATCGCCAATTTGACAACACAAATGACATCATTCATGAAGTGGAAGAGTGGTTTAAGGCGCAATCTTCAGATTTCTACAATAATGGTATTTGGAGGGTCAAGAAACACTGGAGAAAAAAATGTGTAAATTTGGATGGTGACTACGTAGAGGAATGTTAATATAAATTAAAACAAACTTTTTGTCAAACTTTTTTAAAGGTGATAATTACGGTAAAACTTTATGATACCCCCTCATATGGTGCGTCCTGCACAGAAAATGCTATTTGTTGTTGGGGAAAAGTGTGCAAATTCTGCACAGAATAAGTCCTGATCTGCAAATAGCACATTCTTGCAAGAGGAAGAAGATTGCAAACATTATTTGTTGCTTCCTTCAAGAATGAAATTAAGGAATAATCACATCATCTATAGGACCTTAATCTGGCCTTCCTATTAATCATAGAATCATAGAATTGTAAGCTGAGTCTCCTCTCTCTCTCTCTCTCAGCTGAGTTAATTACTGTTGCACTTTGAACTCAGTTTGCAGGAACTGAAGCAAGCTGAGGACAAAGGGGGAAAGTAGGAGGGAGAAACCAGGACATTTTAAAAGCAGTTGAAAAGATAGGATGACAGAGGAATAAATGGGACCATCCCTATCAAATCAGGACAGTTGTAGGGTACGATAGAGGAGCTCTCTCCAGTTTTCATTCTAGGAAGCCTAGTGCCAAGACTAGTGATACTCAGAAGTTGTGACTTTGGCAAAATGCAGTAGCTAGAGTTGCACCAGCTGAGAATAT